GCACCGAAGGGCACGATCAATAGAATTGAAAAGGCAACCCTGGAATATGAGAAAATATTTGCAAATTACCATATGTCATAAGGAATTAATATTCACAATATTTAAGAAACTCCTACCACTCGGAAAAAAAATTTTCTTAAGTTAGCAAAGGTCTTGAATAGGCACTTCTCAAAAGCCAATATACCAAAGTCTAACCAGAACATGAAAAGATGCTCAACATAAAAATTAGGTAAATGCAAATAAACCAATGAGATACCACCTCACATCCCTCAGGATGACTAATACCAGAAAAACAGAAAGTAGTAAGTGTTGACAAGGATGTGGAGAAACTGGAATTCTCGTGCACTATGGAAATATTAAACAGTGCAACTTCTGTGGGGAACAGTATCACAGTTCCTCAAAAACAGACTTCATACATGACCCAGCTGCACTTCAGGGTACATATCCGAAAGGACAGAAAGCAAGGCCTCTCACACTCGCACACCACGCCCACAGCAGCACTCTCCACGACAGCTAAGGAAGAGGTGGGAGCAACCCCAGTGTCCATCAACAGACAGACAGGTAAGCAACGTGTGGTATGTCCAATGAAGTAGTATTCAGCCTTTAAAAGAAATGAAATACTGACACATGCTACATGTATGAATCTTGAGGATATCACGCTAAGTGAAATAAGCCAGTCACTAAAAGACAAATACAGCTGACCCTTGAAATGGGCTTGAACTGTGTGGGGTCCAATTATACGAAGTTTTTTTGTGTTTGTTTTAAATAAGTATGTACTCATCAGTACTAGTCTTTTCTTTTAACATTCTTTCCCCTAACTTACCCTATTGTAACAATGCAGTATGCAATGCATATACCATACAAAACGTGTTGGCTGTTATCAGTAGCACTTCCAGTCAACCACAGGCTATTAGAAGTTAAATTTGGGGGGAGTCAAAAACAGGGGTCAGTGTCCCTAAACCCAGTGTCATTCAAGGGTCAACTGTCCTGTGAGATTCCACTTATATGAGGTATCCCTAGAGTGGTCGAATTCATAGAAGAAGGAGAATGGAGGCTGCCAAAGGCTGGGAGGAGGGAAAAGGAGGAATTACTGTTCAGTGGGCACAGAGTTTCACGTTTGCGAGATGAAAACGTCCCGGAGATTGGCTGCACACGACTGGCATGTGAACATACCTAGTGTTACTAGACAAACACTGAAAAATGGTTAAGACTGTAAATTCGATGTTATATGTCTTTACCACAATTTTAAATTTAGGGAAAATATTCAGGGACTTAAAAATTTACTGAATACAATTCACCATTGTGCTTCCAGTTCATATTCAGCACAGTAGTGTGTTCAAGTATGATCTACTTTCTTTGGAAAAGATGTCTGTAGGTCAATAAATACCAAGCGGTGGTTAATACATTTGTTGGTGGCCTATGGGAAAACAAAAACCCAAATGGGAATCAAGTTTTCATTCCTGGACCCACCAGTGTTAAAAGGAAACCTGTATTTGTACCACCTGAGTACTACATGGATACGGCTTGGGCAAAGAACAGAAAAAGCAGCACGGTACTTCTAGAACTCTACCTGAATTTTCTGCTCAAGAATGAAAAGGTCTTTGTGACAAAGAATAAAATTGGTTAAATTAGTCTCCCTAAAATTCATTCTATTTGACCTTATTTAAAAGCCACCATTTTTCAATGAGTCAATACTTGGCATTGAAAATCCTCAAAAAAATTAAACATACATTGTATCTCATTTTAGGGTACTGGCCAAGGATTATCTTTACAGAGAAGGTAGGACACAGAGTAGTAGGTCAGGTACCATTCTAAGTCCTGGAACAATCTAATCGGCACTAGCACTCTGGGTAGCAGGAGCCTGGCTGGCATCAGTCCAGTGACTAAAATGATGAATGACAGGCCAGAATAACATCAAGCATCTAAACCTAATGGAACCTAACTTTAACAAGGGGGTGGGGGGGGGAGACAATGCTGAAAACAATGACAGAAAACAGAACAATCTGGGACAAAATGAAAAATAAACCAATCTACATATAAAACTTTAATCAGACTCCTAAAACTTTAGATGTGCTCTAACTTTAGATATTAAGGCTGCTTCAGATTTTCAGTGGCTCTCAAAAGGCCAGCATTATTTTTGAAACTCTGGTGAACATATGTGAAAAAACATATATATACATACACACACATATATATATCAAACTTAGCTGCAATAAGCAATTTAATGAGGTGCTACTATAATTAAGGGAAAGACTAGAAGCTATACATTGCTCCCATGACTGTAGAAATATCAGCACTGATTATCAAAATTAAATATTTATAAGGACTTCTTTTTTTGTGTGTGTTTTGTTTTTTGGGGGTTTGTTGTTTTTTGGGTTTTTTTTTGCAAAAAAATGTTTAGTAGGATATCCAAACTGCTTGGGGGGAAAAAGTGCTTGGGGAAAACATTCACCAAGAATCATTCTTTGTTCTCAGATACTCTAACCTTACTGAGACCATGCAAATTCTGTAAGTATCCTAGCTAACATCTCAACGACGTTTTATTTGTAAGTGTGCTAATTTAGCAGATGCAATATAGGTATTAAAGATCCATTTGCTTATGGAAAAAATCACATATGTACCTATGTATGTGGGGGGAGCAGGGGATCAATACACACACATACACACACGCACCCACATTTAGATATTTAACAAAATTTAGAAACCTAAAAGACTTTCAGATGCCCTATAAAATCAATATGCTTTCACCTAGCTCACCTTTTCTCATTTCCTTCAATTATTGTGATTGTTTATAAGTACTTAGTACTGTGGGCTCCACAGATCCCAGTACAGAGCATGATCAAAGTGAAGTGTTTACATAAAAGTACTGAGGTTACAGAATAAAGGTACTTCGCAGAAAATAGGCAGATAGAAAGTACTTTTACAATAAAAAGAAAATACATGAACTGAATTTAGTCTTAAACATCTGAGACATCCAAAATTCTTCGCAATTTATCCTTTCATTGAATTGTAAATGTATACTATCTAAATCAGTAAGAGAAAGTCTTAAGATGAAAAATATCTTCTGGAAAGATGTCTTCTTCTCACTAAACACTTTACTCAATCATCTTAATTTGGAAACTGTGGCTTCTTCTTGAATTAGTTTAATGCTAGTGTCATTTTTTATGTGCCAATTCAGGACTTAAGCATTAATATTACTCCTGGCCTCCTTGCTTATTCATCAGAATAGCTGAGAAGTATTACCCCTCCCCATTCTTCAATTAATAAATCCTAAAATGCAAAAGCCTCCTAATCTCCGGGCTCTTCTCTTGTTCAAAGTGGTAACGGCACAGCAGGACCACCTTCCACCTCAAACTTTCTGTAAGTTTTATCAGCAAGAACTTAAGAGACTTCCAGTGGAAGATGGCAACTGGGAAAAGGAAAATACAGGTGTAAATTACAAATGCCCTCAGCCTCTCCATGATAATCATTTTTTCTAAGAAAGTATCCTAAGAAATATTTTTAATTAGCTTGTAGGAAGTGCATGTGTCTATTTGCCTTTCTCACTTATGAAATGGGATGCAGAGAGATAGGAAATCGTAAGTCCTGCCATATACCTGACAACCTGACAACCAAAAAAGGACCCTAACTAACCAAATAATGGCACATTTCAAATTTGTTTTTGAGCTGAAAGAAATTTAGACCAAAATCTGAATCAATGAAAGACTGTATAGCACTACATATGACAAAGGACTATGAAAGGGAAAGAAATCCATTATTTTACAGAAACAAACGGAAAAATTCATGGTAAATCTGCCTAAATTACTGAGTTGCAAAATAAAGCAACACAGAAGGAGAAGACAAAAAGATTAATGTGCCAAGTTTACCTAATTAAACAATGCAAGAACAATTAGATAAAAACAGAAACAAAGTGACTCTGAATTGCAACTACTTTAAATGTTATATGGTTAAATTTCCCCTAAGAAGTAAAGTACACACATTTCTAAACCAAAGGAACAATTCAGTTTCTTTCTATATGAATCAACCACAAGTTGTACTAAGGAGATTACTCCCCCCTGAAATTTGTGAAACTCATTAAAACAGTGGCTCATGAAACTTGCAAAAAGAACAAAATGTATATCTAAATGTATCATTGTGATAAGTGCTTTGCACTACAGCATAAAAATTAAACTTTGGGTTTAATAGTCTTCTATGTGTAACATTACACACACATCTTTTATTTTCCAGGCCTGCAATCTCAGGAAGTTGTAACAGACTACCTTACATTCTTCCCCAGTGAACCACCATGTGTTTTAAAGCTTTTGTCTCACCTTCTAATAGATAAAAGCAAGTACAGTAGAGGGAGGAGGTGGCAAGGTGGGAGGTAAGGGAGTAAGGAACAGCCTCTTTTCCAAGATTTTAGAGGAAAGTAAATGAAACAAACGAACTGGACCTGCCATTTAATTCAGGAATGAATTCAGAATTCAGGCTGCATAGTTGCATGTTGGGTAAGCTTCAAAAAAGCTGAGAAATTCTAATATATTTGGCCAGTTATTGCACTCCAATGAAAGTCTTACCTTACAATATGGTTAGGTTAAATTAAACCCTGATACAACAAACAGAAGAATTTCCTTTAACATTTTTACTAATATAGAAATGAAGACTACTATTTAACTAGTAAAGTACTGCAGACAAATTGCCTGTAGGTAATCAGAGAAATTTGAGTGTGGTGAGTTTTTACCCTTTCGTGTGATGAGTGCAAGGTATTAAAACCAAATTCATGTCAACATTATAGCAAAGAATTCAGTTCCTAATTCTGAATACAGCTACATTTTAAGAAGAAAAAGGGGCCATAAAACCATATACAGCATGGTCAGAGTTTCACTTTCATGTTATGTGTGTGTCTTACTTTACTCTGAAATGTTTTATACTTGTACTTCATGTTATATAGTTTTTGGACTGGACTGGGTTTATCCACAAAAAGAAAAATCAACTTTTTTCCACCTTAATGTTCAACCTACCTGCCCATAGTTGTCTATGCCAGTTACTAATCTATTTAAATTTAATAAATCAAAAGCTGTCCTTAGGGATTGGCCAAGAGTCGTAAGTCCTTCTGCCTGCAGGTTTTTCAGTTCATTCATAAACGTTGCATGGTTTTCTTTCCATCCGGCCTAAAAAGAAAAATGTAAGATTTTTTTCTCCCTCATATTTTAAAGGCATGTATACACGGACAACCTTTACAATCTGTGGCTGCTCAAGGCGCTGCTTCACTTCCCACTATGGTGTGATTAACGTGTCAATACCTTACCACCGCTGCAGAAACTCTTCCAAAGGGGGCCAAGAACAATCCTACAGCTTCAGACAGCCCAACTGCTCGATAACTTCCCTGGGAAACTGACTCCCCTGACCTAATACCCCTAAGGTGGAGATGCAAAGTGCTCGTGGAAAACAGACGTGAGCAGGACTTCCGAAGTTAACCGACAGCTGCCCCTCGGACCCGCGGCCTCTCCGGGAGAACCCGAAGCCCTAGCTCCGCAGCCCACCCCCCCCCCCCGCACCCCCGGCTCCCCCGGCCCGGTGGCCGGCTCGCCAGCCTCGGGCCGATTCCCCTTTAACGCCAGCCCGGGCTCGGCTGGCGGCGGCCGGGCCCGCTGTCACTCGGGCTAACTTGAATAAATATCCCCCACAGTTCATTGCTGCCGCTCCCGCCGCGGAGGGGAAATGTCGGCCATGTTGATCGCAGCGCCGCCGCCGCCGCCGGGCCGGGCTGGGGAGGGGATGGCGGTGGCCCCGCGACTCCGCGCCGCGCCGGGACGCTCCGGGGCGGGGGAGGGGGTGGGAGTCCGTGGGGGAAAGGACCTCAGCGCCTAGAGCGCAGCGGGTGGGGGAGGGGAGCATAATGAAGGGTGAATGGGGGGGTGGGGAGGGCAGCGAGGAAGGAACAGGGAAGGGAAGGGGGAGGGCGAGGGCTGTTACCTTGATAGCATAGGGAGGCTCTTCGAAAGTGACCAGCATATACCTGTCTCCTCTGCTGGCAGGATCCCGGGCTCGGAGCTGCGGGAGAGCGGGTGGGGGACGGGAGGAAGAACAGGGCCAGCGAGAGGGAAGCACAGAGGCGAGGTTACAAGGCGGAGAAGGGGCGCCCAGCGGCCCCGCAGCCCCCCCCCACCACAGTACCGCACACGCAGCGGCCACCCCTCCACGCCGCCCCCCACACACAGATCGGCTCCTACACACCGCCTGGGGCCGAAGCCCGGGCCCGGGCCGAGCACGGCTCGCAGCGCCCGCCCGCCCGCGCGGTGGGGGAGGGGGTCCCCGAGCCCAGCAGCTCCCGCAGTCAGGTCCCCGACACCTCCGCCTCGCCGCCCCCGGCCGCGCTCCCCGCCACCCCTGCCGCCCGTGGGCTGCCTGGCCGGGGTCGCCGCCCGGGCTCGGTCAGTCGGTACCTTCATGAAGGTCTCTACCGCGCCTTTGGCCGTGTCCAGGTAGGTGGTGCCCAGATGGCTGCGCTGGTTCATAGAGGCAGACGTGTCTATCAGGAACAGTAAGATGGGCATAGTGCTGGCCGGGGACACCGGGGCCCGAGGTGGAAGAGAAAGAGGAGATGGTAGAGGTGGAGGCGCCGGTGGCAGCGACCGCCGCTACGCGGGGCGGGGGAAGCGCGGTCCCCGAGTGGAAAACACCGTCTGGGTCTTTCCTCCGGCTGCGGGGAGTTTCTCCCCCGATAGTTGAGAGGAAACTCCCAGACCCAGTCCTCCCCGTCGTACCCCCGTCTCCGCCTCCTCCTGCCTGCCTGCCCGCTGGGGCGGGCGCCCGGCCGTCTGTCGGTCGGTCCGTCCCCCCCGCCTCGGGGGTCCCGTCCCCGCTCCCGGTCCCTGTGTGTGTCCCAGCGGGAGACGGGCCTGGCTCCCCACCCCACCCCCGATGCAGGGAGTGGGGACCGGGGAGCTGACGAAGAGGGGAGTGGGCTAAAGGGAGATTGGCCCTGGGGCTGTTGGGAGAAGTTTCAGGGACTCCCTCCGCACCCCAGCAGTGTCACCACTTTCTCAGCCCCTCTCGCTACTGAAGCGCTTTTCTCTCTCACACTCCGGTTTTAACTCGGGCAGGGGCTGCAGAGGCACCGCCCCCTGACACGTCCTCGCGCCACGTGACGCACCGCTCCGCTATTCCATTGGCCCTTCCCTAGCCTCTCATTAGCATATTCAAACAGCTCAGGGTGAGGGAGAAGCTTGTAGGCCGGCTCCGGGAACTGTTAGTGAGCACGCGTGAAGGCGGGGAAGTCGGGAGCGCGCGGGAGCGAGCGTGAGGGTTAAGCAGGGCGGTCGGCAGACGCGGAGGCGGGCTTCGGCAAGGGGCGGGGACCGGCCGCGGAAGGATCGCGGGGTGGGGGCCGTAACCGCGTAGGCGCGCGCAGGCTGCGGCTGTGAGTCTGCGCGTCCGAGCCGCGGGACTCTCCTTGGCTGTTGGAGGTGACCGGGGTCGGGGAAGGGAAGTGGACGCTAGCCTCACCTTCCCTTCCGAGGTCGCTGTAGCAAACCCCTTTCCCCGGGGGGCGAGAGAGGCGGCGATCAGTTAAGGACCAAACACCCGGCTGGGGGAAGGAGGCACGCCCGCGGCCGGCGGAGGAGTTGCCAGGGCCTTGGAGGGCCGGCCCCCGCGTAGGCGGGCCGGGGGCGGGGGAAGGGAAGTGCGAGGTTGTTTATGACCGGGGACTAATCTCCGCGAGTCGCCCCGCTCCCTCCGGGGAGTGAGGTCGGGGCCTGGCCTCTCTCGTACCGGTCTCTCTCGGCCTCGGGGGGCAGCCTGGGGTGAAGGCCTGGCCCCGAGCTGGTCGGGAACCTTCTCGTCGGAGGACCTCCCAAAAAGGGAACAATCCACCGTTTTTCTAACTCAGCCCTACAATGGCTTTGGGGGGGTGGGGGGGGCTGGAGTCTCGACAAACAGTTGTGTCCCATGTTAGTCTCAGAGATAACCCGTATTACCCGAAGAAATACATTCCCAAACCATGTTTCCTGATGGCCGTAGACTATCCGTCTCAGAGCTAAAGGGGGCCTGAGCAAGCCAAAATGTAGCAGTGTGACTTCTTAATGAAGAAACTAACTTCAGCCTGCCCAGGTGACCCAGAACGGGTCCCCGTAACCCTACCTGTCTCTTCCCTTTCACTCTTTATTGTCTCACGCTTGTCCAAATACTGCGCGAGGGACGAGGTTCTGGGTGACAACAAGCCCCACCACGCCTGCATCGAAGGAAAACAGTGTCCTCAAGTACACTCGTTAAAAACCGAGGACCACCTGAAATACAAGTTGAATCGGGGACATATCAGCCTTTGTGAGATTAGGCATTTATGGGGCCTCTCCTACCAGCTTTGTATTTTATTTTATTTTTTTACTCTTTACCCTGGAATTCTTTATTATTTACCTACTGTTTTTTTTTTATTGTCCCTATTGACAATAACGCAGGAGATATGCCTTGTGGCACTTGAAATACTGAGTTTCATCACTTGGACTTTTTCTAATGTTCAAGACAACCTCTGAATTTTTCGTTGTAATAGGGCTATTTCAGTAATATGCTATATGTACCATAAAAGAATGAGACATTTTTAAGAAATTTGGACTACAGAATAAGATGAAATACAGGCCTTACTTACATCCAGTATTTGCTGAGGGTCAGTGGAGTTTAAAAAAATGATTAAAGTATGGTCCCTGCCTTCAAAGAGCTTATGGTTTTTCTTTTTTAAAAAAATGTTATTTACTACAAGGCAGAAAGTGATTAGGTAGTAAGTAACTCAGAAAAGACAAAAAGTTATTACCCTGGAGACACGCGAGACCATTTCCCAGGATCCTAGGCCTGGAGCCACAAGTCAGAGTCCTTCAATGCTGGAGAACATTTGTCTTCGTTTTAACAATAAACAGGTTGTTTTCGCAGTTCTAAAGACAAAAACTAGGCCTTCAGAGTGATCATTTGCAACTGAAAGATTTTCATGGAGTTGGTCTTCAGCTGTCCCTGTCAGCCCCCTTCCAACTGGCCTGCGGACCCCTGCCTGTGCAGAGATGTGTCCCCTAGAGCCCGGGGATGTGGTAGAGCCAGGATCAGATACATAGCCCAGGAGAGCCAAGTCCAGTGAGCCAACCTGGAGCACACATCCAGAACCTCTGCTTATGATGGCACCTGAGGTCAAAGGCCAGGCCTCCAGTTCAGAAGCCCGGAAGTGCTTGCAAGGCAAGGCCCAGAGGCACAACAGCAAGGAAATTCAGGACAAACGTAGCAAATCAAGAGGCCATCAGAAACCAGGAGCATTGTGTTATCCCTAGACAAAATTGTGAAATAGGCCAAGTTTATTCTTAGTGATTCTGGTTGGCAGTTAAGCTATTGATTGATGGTGGCTTAAAGCAGTGGTTCTGGGCCAGGAGGTGCCCATCAGCACTACCTGTAGAGCAGAAACCCCATAATGAATGTCCCAAATCCCTGTACCCAGAGGAAAGTGATTCAATAGAATCAGTAACAGCCCTGGTCATCTCATTTTTTAAAAAGCTCTTCAGTTGAGTCTTACAAACAATGCCGATTAAAGTATAAAAACTATGTATGTATGTAGCATTTATTATTACCTTTAGAATTATTACATTTCTTAAACTCCTAAAATCTGCAAACTAAAGGGAAAAAAACTATAAATGTGACACCAATATAGCTAACAGTGGATTTGCATCATATGTTTATGTAAATTACTTGAATTCACCTCTGTATGACAAAAAATAAAAAGAGAAAACTAAATACTGCCGGATATTCCCACTGTTCTCCATGGTGAGCTTAGGCCTTGGAGTAAAGCACGAGGTGGGGAACATGAATTTGTTCTTCCCTCAACCTCGGTGATTCTAGCAAGATTGTGGTTATGTGCAGGCTTATTTTTGTAAAGCATGGCTTCTAAATGCAAGCCAAGCATTTCATCAGATTTCAGCTGAAGAAACTGAGCTCTGCAATGCTGGGGGGAGAACTAGTTGGAGTCGTGTGTGCTAAGCCCTGGGCCACCACAGCCTAGGGGGTTAGGGAAGACGTTTCTGGGAGGCCATTGGTCAAAAGAGGTGAGTGGGAGAAAACCTGCTTCAAAGTGCTGCCCAAATGCTAGGGCTCCAGTTTTCAAGGGAATGGGTGAGTTATGTGAAACCTGAAAGAATAGGGACTAAGTTGTTGAAATGGAGCTATTCTAACAAATAAAAACCAATGAATTAGATGCATTTGGCGAAGGCAACCAAATGTGGACGTGGCCACAGGGAAGGTAAAGAGGGCGTGGAGGGGATGGAACTGACAGCACTTGGTGATATGGATGGAGGCGGGCAGAATCATATCTTTTAGATTACATCCATCTCGTGTCATGTAAAGTGGGTATCATCCCACTACTGGTAAGGACAAATTCTGATAAGAACCAGCAGTGTTCATTCAGTCATTTTTCAAATAGTCATTGAATCTCAAACATGTGTAGGAGCTGGGAACCTAGCAGTGAAGGAAACAGGAAGGAAAAGGCCTGTCCTTAACGAAGTTTACGTTCTAGCAGAAGAGGTGGACAATGAGCTAAGTAAATTACATGGCATATTTGCTCTGAGTGCTAAGGAGGAAAAATAAAGTGGGGAAAAGGTAACTAAAGTGTTGCAAAGGGAGAAGAGTTGCAGTTTTGGAGAAGAGGGAGGGCATCACGGAGAAAAAGGACACTTGAGACCTGAAAGAGGAGAGAGACAGACACACGACGTCTATGGAGAGACAGGTTTTATCCATTTACTGGCGTTTAGCAAAGCATCCATGGTTTGAAAGGCTGATACATATTAAAGTCTTATCTGTTGATACGTATTCTTTGTGGATAGTAATCTTATTCTTAAAAAAAAATCAATAGTATTCTTTGAGGACAGTTAATACATACTTTATTAATAACAGTATTCTAATAATAAATATGCTTAGCTGATACAAGTTCTCCTTGATAGGCAGAACACCAATTATTCATTAAATATTATTGAGAGGTTTATTTATTTTAAAGTCAACAGTTATGGTTGTAGATTCTAAGGATTCAGTGTTAAATGAGGTAGACTTAATACCCTCAAATTATTGCGAGATAAAATACAGGACTCAGTGGAATTTCAGATAATGCATAATTTTTTAGTATGTATACCAACTATTACATAGAACATACTTATAGTAATGTTACCAAATTTAACAGGGCATCCTGTATTTTAATTTGCTGAATCTGGCAATTCTAAGCCCTTACTGAATTTACAACCTAACCTCCTGAGGGCAGAGATTAGGAAATAAAATTAGCGCTCAGTGGACATACTGTATGGCCAGGGAAGCCCAAAAATGGAAGGCCCTGGAGCTACGTGTGTGGAGGGAGCCGGTCTGCCAACCAGGAACACCCACCCCTAATTAAGAGCAAGAAATAAACTTGTCATATTTCAACCATGTGTGTCGGATGCGTTTGTATCACAGTCTCTTTGTTATTCCAGCTTAGCCTAACTCAGTGTGTCTGTCCACGGGCCCACATCCACTCCAGAATCAAAAGTTGTCATGCACTACACCAACAACTAATTTAAAAAATAGTAAATAAAGGCAACACAGAGGCAGGCCATACCCTAAACATGCTTGTACTGTAGCCATCATGCTAACCTGGCTTTAAACATGAGCAGCATGAGGGACATGATCACTCTAAGAAAACCACATGATTTTATGTTTTCCCCCAAGTGAATAACAGTGTATGTTATTTCTGGCTATTAAAACATTTTCCGTATTTTTTCTTTTAAACTTATTGAACATAAGTTATTGAATATAAAGATGAAGTGTTGAAGGCTCTGAGAATTATAAATAAGACACGATTTCTGACTTCAGAAAGTGTAGGGCCTAGTAGAGAAACTACGGGTACATGATAATAGCCAACATATAAGTGCCAAAAGGTAAGTACAAATCGTTATGTAACTGAAGTGAGAAACTCAGGCTGGAGAAGGGGAGAATAAATCAACTGGATAAAGAAGCATTTTCTTTCAAAGCTTTGTAATTTCCTAACTTTAAATATATTTAAAATATTTGTTTAAGATTTTTCAAAACTGCAAGAATAACAAAAACAAAAATCAATTTCTCTACCCAGATAGCTACCGATAAACGTTTATATTAAATAAAATTAGGGTCATTTAATATATTCTTTCCTATCCTGCCTCTTTTCCACTATTAATGTTACCATTTTTCGTTAAATATTTCTTTGAATAAGACTTTTAGTAAATGCATGATATTCCATCTTATGGATATATCGTCATTTATTCTCTTATTACTGGGTTTTTTAAAATTCCCAGATGTTTTACTTTTGTGAATAATGATGCATGGAACAGCCCTCTAAGTAAATCTTTGCATTAATTCAGAAACTATCGTTTGGACACTAGTTACTGCTCTGAGTGTCATAGATGCATCAGTGACCAAAAAGTCCCAGATCCCGGCCCTAACGGGGAGGAGCAGAAAGAGAGATTAACAATGGAAGTGACGTATTATGTCAGATGGTGACAAGTGCTCTGGACAAAAATAAAGCGGAAAGAGGAATAAGAAGTGGTGGGGCCAGGTGTTTTCCTACTAAACCCATACTATAGAAATAACCAAAACACGGAGTGGCACTTGATAAATGCCAAAAACAGAGGTTCAGAAAACTGGAGAACTTTTACATAAGAGGGCAAGACAAGAAAGAGAAACCAAGATAATCAGAAGAGAAGAAGGTGGACAACCAAGGAACTCAACTTGCCAAAGCAGTTTCAGAACGGAGAATTTTTTTTTTTTAAATTACTGAAACATCAGAGTGAAACCTAAACAAAAGACATTCGATGAGAAAGCCTGGTT